TGCCAGATTATGAGGTGTATGTGTACAGTCTATCCCTAAAGAGAGATGCCACCCAGAGCCGAGCGTCCAGCAGCGTTGGCGAAGCCCCATAGGGTCTCATAGTTTATGCGAACGAAGGCGAAAATATGGGATGAGTCTTGGCGCTTACCAATGCCGTGAGATACTGATGAGATAGTATGCCGATGGACAACAATATCTCCTTTTCATCTTGAGCCAAAATGGGCGCACGGAGGAGGGTGTCAGAATCACTCCTCCTCGGGCCTGGCCGCAAACCGGCCAGGCACGACCTAAGTCGTACGCGGGCGCGCCCGAGCCGACGCGCCCAGCTCATCAGCTAGGCTGCGGCCATGCCGCGAGCCCCTCACTCCGCCCGGCGCGATCATACCGCCGCCGGCGGAACCTCATCCAGCCCCACAGGTAGCGGAGCATGGATTCGATCCACTCCATCACTTGAAGTCCTTCTGAGTCGAACTCGGTGCCCGATCCCAGATGTTCAGCGTCGCCATGTGTCTCCTCAAAAGGGATCCACCCACGCTCTTGGTCAGCACGTCCGCGACATTGTTCTTGCCAGGAACCGCAGCGATCGAGATGTCGCCCTTGCCAACACGCTCCTGGATCCACAAGTACCGTGATTGAACATGTCGCATCTTCCCGAGACCTCGCCGTTGGACGTGGCCCCGGGCCGCCGATGAATCCGAGGCGAGCTCCACCTTCAGGTCCAGCCCCCAGTCCGCGAAGAGGCTGTGAAGGCCTAGGCCCACGCTCCCGCCCTTTACCAGGGCGTAGTACTCGCTCTCCCCGCTGCTCAATGAAACCGTCGACTGCAGGTTGCTGCCGTGCTTGACTACATGATGCCCTAGCATCGCCACGAAGCCTCCTGTGCTCTTCCGCGTGACTGCACAGCCTGCATGATCGGAGTCCACGTACACCCGGATCTTGTCGAACGTCTTCTGCTCCGTGAAAACCGTCACCGTGCTAGGATGCCGCTTGAGGTAGCGGCCAACCCTCTTGAGCATGAGCCAGCTCGCCTCCGTTGGCGTCTGCATGGACCTGGCGAGTGTCTTCGATGCCTCGGCCAAGTCCAGCCTGTCCTGAGACAGGTAGGCCACCCTCATGGTGAGGGATCGGAAGCGCGAAGCTTCCGCTGCTCCCAACGCCGCCGACTTCGCATCCATCATCTGCTTGTCGGCGCTGCGCTTCTCCGTCGGCGTGTCCACGCCGTTGGCCTTGCTGAGACCCAACTCGTCGATCACGATCTCCGCGTGCCGCTTGTCCGGCTCGATCATCGCATGCCGGCAGGGCCGGCCACCGCCAGGCGGAACTCCCGCACTGACCTCGATGACCCGATTCAGGAAGACCGCCTGCTTGTCATCGCCCTCGTCGAAGCCCAGGTTCGCAGTCTTCTTGAACTCGTACTTCTTGCCCAGCGTGGCCTCGAAGCTGTCGATGTCCTGCTGCTGAGCTAGCACCGCGAAATCGTCGCCGTGCCCCAGCAGCCTCGTCTCGTCCACCTCCTTGTAGAAGACCGCTGGGCACGACGCGCCTGCCTTGTATCCGTTTTCCTCCAGCAGCTCCGTGTAGTCGCCCTGCCAGATCTTGCTGGCGTCCTGCGTGCCGTACCAGGACTTGAGGAGTAGGCCGCACTTGTCCTCGCCGTACTCCTTGCGACTCTCCTCCTCCAGCTCCACGAAGATTCTCCGCTGCGCCTTCCCGTAGAAGTGCGCCCTGCTGATGTCGAAGAAGCCGATCTTGAAGTTGCCCGGCTTCCTGCCCTTCTTGCGAAGCGACTCCTGAATGTGGAGCGGTGCTTCCCGCGTCCACGTGACCATCAGCGAGACCAGCGACCGCATGGCCTCCAGAGGAGGCATGGCCGAGAAGACCTCGGACGCCTCCAGCTGCTCGTCAGGGCGCTTCTTCGCCTTGATCTCCTTCACGACGAGCCTGCTCCTGTAGTTGGGCCTCTCCGCGTCACCCTTGTTCGTGTCGACCCACTTGAGTGGGATGGGCGGACGCCCAGTCTCGGCGAAAGCCTGAGACCTCGGGACGATCTCGATCAGCTCCTGCTTCTTGACCCACTCGCGCTCGACCGCGCGAGCCTGGGTCACAAGGCCCGCCTCCAGGTAGCCGCCATTGACGTCGTCCCAGTAACTCGTCCAGTCCCCGGGCGGCACTGCCGCGTCCACAGGGACTGGGCCCGACTGCTGCACCTGGGCGGTGCTGAGCTCTCCCACGTCATTCAGCGTGTCCTTGAGCTCCTCCAGCACCGCCTCCACCAACTTCGGTGGATAGACCTTCGCGAACCGCGCGATGCCGCCCACGAGCGTGATGTGGCGATGCCATTCCGCGCGGCCGTCCACATTGCTGCAAGTGCCCTGCAGCCTCCGGGCTAAGCCTGGATGGTTGGTGACCCATCCGGTCTCCTTGCGCACGAACTCCTCCTGGCCACTGCGTGGGTTCGTGAGCTTCATGCCCCACCGACACATGGGGCCTTTGACCGTGAAGACTCCTGGATGCGCGACCAGCTCCTTGACGATGTCCTCATTCCACGATCGCGCGCTCCAGGGATGCTCATGCAGGAAGTACCTGCCTGGCTTCCTGAGCTGACGCCAGTAGGCGTCGACTGCCACCTTCAGGTGGTGTCTGGCCTCCTCCATCTCAGCCGCCTCCTGCTCATCGGTCCTGAACTTGGCGCTCAGGCCCCTCAGCAAGCTGAACTTCTCGCATGGAGGGGGCCCCGTGAGCAGGATGGGATCCATCCGCTCCTGCTGCCTCTCGAGCTCCTTGACATCCTCGGGGCGCCGCAAGTCCCACGGCGCCCCGTCCTCCTTGAGTTCCTCCAGGTCCGCCGCGAAGCCCGGGCGCAGCTGAAATTCCGCTGCCCGAGCCGAGAACCGATGTGGCGAGTGCACCTCGGCCACGTCCACGGCGCCCAGCTGCAACGCCGATAGGGCGATGCTGTCCACCTCTTCGTCGGCGATGTCCACGCCGGCGCTGGCCCAATGGCCGCTGACCTGTTCGCGAACGAGCGGGAGCAACTCCGCCTTCGCTCTCGTCAGCACTCCGAGCTCAACCAGCTCGATCGACGCCACATCGAGGGCGAGCACCCGCATGTGCCTCCCCTCACTGGCGTTCCACACGACTGCCACTCCAGCTGGCAGCTGAGGTCCTTCCGCTGGCGCCGGCTGCGCCGCGAGATCCTCCATGTCCACCGGTACCGGCACGTCTGCCGGCTGTGGATCACCGCGCTCGAGGGCCTCCGGCACGTCATCCGGGGCCACCTCTGCCAAGCGCTTCAGCCGCGACCTGGCCGCGGTCATGTCGACATCCGCGGCGGCCTCTGCCGCTCGCGCCGCTCCCGAACTGGAGCTCGCTCCTCCTGAAGGAGCCGCCACGCCGAAGCCCGGTGCTACCGGCTGGCTCTCTCGCATGCGCGCCGCTGTGGCTGCCACGGCTGGCGCTGCTGCCGATCGGGTCGCGGCCGGCGCGGCCGATGCCGCTGCCGCCGCTGCCACCGGCTCGGTGATCCTCCGAGCCGTCTTCGGCGGAGGGGTCCCTGCCGCGGCCGCTGCCGCCGGTCGGACTCTGGCCTCTTGGCCCTGCCTCCGCTCTCGATACTGGCCGGTCCTCTCCCGGCCTGCCTCCTCCGCGTCCAGCGCTTCGAAGATCCTCTTGCTGCACACCGCGTTGTGCGCGTGGCCAGCCAGCACCCGGCCGTGCTTGGCGATCGAGACGCACCCTGGGCATCCCGGCGTTGCGCCCAGCCGCTCGATGTCCGCCTTGAGGACGTACATCCTCCTCGGCGCCTGCGGCTGCGGCGACACCACCACAATTGGTGGCGGACCGACCTCTCCAGGTCCGACGATGGCCCGCGGCGCGCTTGCCGCACGCGGAGCCACGTCCCACGGCAGGCCCTTCAGGCCATCCCAGCCCGCCGTGATCCACTTCTCGCTCTGCGGCAGGCTGCGAAAGCCGACCGCCTTCTTCACGCCGTCGCTCGTGATGACCATCATCGAGCCGTCGCGCGGGTGGTGGCCGATGTAGCGAGCCTCCACCATCTGCTCCTCCAGCGCGTTCTTCCTCGCGCGCTCCCCGGCGAACCGCGCCATCAAGCGCTCGCCGAAGAGCGGGACCGGCTTCCTCCACTGCCGTCCCGTGAGCCGCTGAAGAGCGGTCTTGCCATCCTGGCCGCGCCGGTATCGGTTGATTACCGATGCGGCGTGCTCCGGCAGGTGCGCTAGCACCGGGTGCTTGTCCTCCACCTTGACGCCCAGCTTGGACTCCAGGTCCATCTTGAGCGCCCGCACCTGCTTCTTGATCTCGCGCACCGTGACCTCGATCTCCCCATTGGCCTGATGATCGGCCGGTGCCGATTCCTGGGGAATGGCCTCGAGGCCAGGAACCTCCTCCACCGCGCGCCTCTTGACCAGCAGGATCGCTGGCTCGCCGTCGGACTTGTTGGCGATCTTCCTGTAGCCCAGGATCCGCAAGAAGCGTGCGAAGAACTTGATGGCGTAGGCGTCGTCGCCCTTCTTCTCCACGAATGTCGCTGCCATCATCTTCGAGCGCCGATCCCTAAGGACCAGCATCGGCATGGTGTCCGCGTCGTCCTGGCCCATGAAGGCGTAGTCGGACGAGACCACCGGCACCGCTGTCTCGTCGTCCTCCGGTGCGCGGAGATGCGGCTGGCCTTGGCCCTTTGCCGCGATGCACACGCGACGCCAGCTGCGATAAGTCGCGTGTCCCATCGCCTCGTGTTCAGCGATCTCCCTCTGAGAGGGCTCATGAGGTGCCTTCAGCACTCTCGGGCGAGCCTCCTCCTCGCCCTCGTCGGCCTGCTGTCCATCAGGAGCAGCTGGCAAAGCGTCGGCCGCAGCAGCTGCCGCTGGCTGAAAACCTGGCGGTCTCACGTCGGAAGGTCCCGATCCCGCCGCTGCCGCCCCCGCAGCTGATGCCGCAGGGGGCCGTGGTATTGAGTCTTCCAGTGGACTTACGCCGAGGGCTGCCTCCTGGGGACTGTCTTCTCGAGGATCTCCAGCAGCTCCTCCTTCGACTTGCCGCTGAGGAGCTCCACCAGCTCGGACTTTGACTTTGCCGAAAGTCCCTCCTCGAGAGGAGCAACCGAGCCATGTTGGCCCTTCTTGAGGTAGAAGTTGTAGACACCCTGCTCGCGATAGACCGGCAGCATCTGGTGCTTCGCCGCCTTCGCCTCCTTCTCGAGCATGCCTACCACGCGCTTGCCGATTGGGCTCTTCTCGTGGAATATCCAGCCGCCATTGCGGCCCAGGAATGAACACTGTCCAGCTCCTGCTGCCTGCCCCACCGAGATCAACGGCTTGTGCACGTTCGTCACGCGTCCCTTGAGCGCTCGTAGCACTCCGTACTCGTCCTCCGCCTTGAGCTGCAAGCTGCCCTCGTCCGGGACGAGCTCACCACTGGCCGTGCGATACGTGCTGCCGTTGCCCTTCATTCCCGTCGGCGACGCGAAGCTTCGAGGGAATGCTGAGATAGCTGCACCGCTGTCCCAGTTGAACTTCATCCAGTCGTCCTGCGCGAAGGGGGAGAGATCGACCGCCGCTACGCCGCGGCCGCTGCCGCTGGCGAGCTCCAGGCAGTCCAGGCTGCCCATGTCCAGAGCGGCGACCTCCGCTTCAGGCTCCTCCTCCAGGCTGCCTGCCGCCTTGCCGCCGGCCTTGCCACCGCGGCTACCGACTTTACCACCAGCGCTTGCCCCCGTTGCGGATCCAGTTCCAGCCCTCGTACTCGATCCCTGCTCTCTCTTCCAGCAGTCGGATGCCTTGTGGCCCCATCTCTCGCAGTTCCGACAGTAGCCGTCGAAGCGCCCGCTGGTGCTTCGAGGTGCCGTGTGCCCTGAACCACGGCCCGAACCCGTCGGGGACGTGCGGGAGCCTGAGTATGATCCGTTCGTCGATTTGCTCTTCCCCTTCGGCTCCTGAGTCTTGCCTTTCCCTTTGCTCTTGCCGTCCTTGCCCTTGCCTTTGCCTTTGCCCTTCGGGGCTCCGAATGACCCGACGTCCATGTCGTCCGGATGATGTGCCCGCGCACGGATCGATGGCTCCTTGATCTTCACGCCGGTCCGAGCCTCCACGATCGTCATCACCTCGTTCAGACTGTCCTGGAACGTGACGAGCCGATGCTTGTTGAGGACGAGGTGGTTCTCGATGTCCTGAGGCACGAGCATCTCGAGGGCCGCCATCTTGATATCCTCCGGCAGCTCGGCTAGACCATCTTCTCCTTGGCGGCGTTCGTACCTGCCTATCTGCTGGATCCACTTCTCTAAGGCTGATCCCAGCTCGTCCGCGCTGCACTTCGGAGGCGAGATGATCGACCTCAGGATCAGCCTCTTCCTCGGACCTGTCGTCGGATCCCACCTGCGGTGGAGCTTCCGCCAGGCTTCGAGACCGTTCCCATCGGGGGCGCCCGTCACGAGGTCGTTGCTCTCGCTGCCGTCCGCCGTCGTGCTGATCAGCGCCGCGTACAGCTGGTTGACCTTGGTCTCCAGCTCTGGTACTCCGTCGTGCGCCGCCTGTGCCCCCTCGATCGTCACGGGGCGTTCGGCTTCTGCAGCCCACCGAAGAACGGGACGGAAGCTCTCTCCGTACACGCCTATCACGTAGTTCTCCATCTTGCGATTCCAAGCCCCGAACTTCTCTTGATCGTCGCCCATCGTCGTGGGCTTGCCAATCCCCTTCGTGTCGACGAGACCTTGAGCGGCTCCTCCCGCGCTCGACGCGCCTCTGATCTGCTCGCCCATACGTTCTATCGCCTGCGGAATTGCCGCGAGGCCTCCTGCTACTTGTTGCTGAAGCCGCTGATTCTCGTTCTCCAGCCTCCTCATCTCGTCGGCGGTCTGACTCATTCGAGCCGCGAACTCCTGCCTCAGCAGTTCGAACTGCTGCCGAACCTGCTCGTCCATGCTTGACAGCGTGTCTCTCGGCGAGCTCCTCCCTGCTCTCAGCTATCTCCTGCCTCGTACGCTCGAGGTCCGTGATCCGGCCTAGGACTTCCTTCTGCGTTCTCTCGACAACGTCTGAGGAGTTCTCCGAAGGATGGTCCTCGATGTGCGCGAGGTCGCGAAGCCTGTTGCCTGCCTCCCTCAAGTCGTGCTTGAACTGGAGGGCCTTGCGCCTGGTCTCAATCGCTGCGTCGCTCCTCTTGCCGCGCCTGCGGCCACTCTTCCCGGCCCCTGCCGGTTGCTCGGTCGCTGCCGAGCTCGCTGCGGTCGATGCCGCCCTCTTCCAGCCTCGAGCCTCCTGCCAGCTCGCCGTGGCGCCCGCGGCCGCGGCGCGCCGAGGCCTTGGTGGGGTCGGCAGCAGTGAGTGGCCAGCTCACGCTACCATGATGAGATAGTATGCCGATGGACAACAATATCTCCTTTTCATCTTGAGCCAAAATGGGCGCACGGAGGAGGGTGTCAGAATCAGATACCCAAGAACGGACGAACCTAGACAAACCTAGGATTTAGCAGCAGGCTCTCTGGCAAAACCACGAGCCTTCACTGCCGCCAGTCGAGTCTGCCACGTGTCCGTCACTTCTGCTTGCCCGTGCCGTTGCCGCCGAGCTTGTGTTTGTCCAACATCCGCTGTGCCAAGCTCTCCAGGTGGCCCTGAGGCGCCGTGCCCTGTTTGAGAGTGCCGCCCATGCCCTGCACCACCGTCGCGTTCTCGATCACCAGCTTGGATGAGGTCGTGGGCTCGCCCACGTCGCACGGACGAAGAGGATGAGGAGGTGAAGGAGGAAGAGGAGGATGGGAAGGAGGAGGGGGATGATGATGAGGACGAGAAGAACCATTGTAAACCCAAGGCTCACCAATGGTATTGCAATACACCTTGCCTCCAAGTTCCTTCCCCATAGGCCTCCCACGAACATATGTTGTCATTTAGGGGAATGCTCCGTTAGAAAACTATCGTTTATAAAACCTGAACCGCTCCCAAACACCAATTCGGGGACTGCAGCGCCGCAGATCAACATTACTGTTCCGTCCGGATGATCCTGAATCGTGCCAGATTGCTGTCCTGGGGCTTCAACACTGTAACACCGCGAGCCCACGTGACTGTTGTGCCCGGACAATCCTACAGCGTGCGAAAGCACCACTCCTACCATACTAACCCTTGAAACTGTGGCAAACTCGTAAGACGAATGTGCACGGTACTAAAACGAGAACCACATTTTGAAAAAGATCCGCCCTCCATCCGTCAAATTGTTGCAAACGTTTAAAACGAATGTGCGCGGCGCTAATGCGAGAACCGCAATTTGAAAACGGACCGCCCTCATTCGCGAAACTTTTCAACTTTTGCAACGCATGTGCGCGGCGAAACTGCGAGAACCGCATGTTGAAAGCGGACCGCCATCCATTCTTGAAGCTCGTGCCAACTTGTGAAAAGAATGTGCGCAACGCTAAGGCGAGAACAACACTTTGAAAACGGCCCGCCCCCCATCCGTGAAGCTGTTGCAACTTGCAAGCTTAAGGGTCCTAACATGGTGAGGACCTCTCATGCGAAAGGCCTGGTCCACCCTACCGGCACGTCTCGGGGTGTGACATGGAGGAGGAGCAGGATCAGGACCAAGAGGAGGAGGAGGAGGAGGAGGAGGAGGAGGAGGAGGAGGAGGAGAAACAGGAGGAGGAGGAGGAAAGGCGGAGAATGAATGATGAAACTGCAAATGCTCCTCCTAAGTTTTCGACCTTCGGATGTTCTTCTGCGATTTCGATCTCCGGGGCCTCTGTCTTGGACGCGGGGCCGTTGACACATCGATCCGAGACGCAAAACGGCCCAGGATGGAACAGGTGAGGGGTCTGGGGGCCTCTCGGAGGCACCTTGGGGACTTCCTTGGGCCTCTTGGGGGTCTCTGGAAGCTCCTTGGGAGGCTCTTCGGCCGTCTGGGGGCCGCTGTTGGAGGAGTTCTGGCTGGCGGGGGAGGAGGGGCTGGCCAGCAGCGGAGAGGCCAGGAGGGAGCAGGGGCTCGGGCTGGCCGTGGCAGGGGCAAGGTCGGGGCAGACGGTCTCGGCGGCCCGCCGAGGGGGAAGTAGTGAGAGGAGCCACGCCTTCCCAGAATTTGGGGGCAACGATAAAGTGGGGCTTGGCACACGAGGGGAACATCGACCTGGAGACGGCGATACATCGCCGACAGATCGGCGATGGGCCCCCGATGGCAAGTCCGCACCTTCCTGGGCGGGGGCGTGGCTATCGGACCCCCATTGGCGATCATCTGGCGATTGGGGGTCGGTGCATCCCCCCTCTGCCTGTCTCCCCCCATCGTTACCCCTGAAGAAATCGGCGGGGCTTCGGCAAGGCTAACAAGCTTTTCACAAGGCCGGAGGCTTTCTGAGCCTTCTGAGGCTGGAGGAGGGGGTGAGGAGAAGGAGGTTCGGGTCGAGGGTCGAAGTTCGAGGAAGAGGACGAAGAGGTTCGAGGAGAAGATGCTCCTTCCTCTCCTTCTGCCTCTGCTGTCCATCTGCCCCCTCTGCCTCCTAGACAGACAGCGCCGGCTGGCGCACAGCATGCCCCTCGTCAGTGGGGAGCGGGGCCCCCCCGTAGCTTGAGAAGCAACCTTTGTCGGGATCGGAGCGGGGCATGGCCAGGAAGTGCGATGCTTTTTCCGTCAAGCGCACCTCATAACGCTTTCCAGAGGTCATCTGCCAACTCAGTCGGTCTTCTCTTGGACGGCGGGCTTCTGAAACACCTTCACAGCGCCTTGGACAAGCTTGTAGAACCAATACGCGAACAGGAACGGCGGAATGGGAATGGTCGAGAATGCCATTGCAGTCCAACGGCCCCCTGGTAGGGCCCTCGGGGCTGCGAGGACCTCCCTGCAGCAGTTCCAATTGATGTTTCAATCCTAGATTTTCTATTTTCCATTTTCGCTGCTGTAACGTTTGCAGCGCGAGGGGGGGTGGGGGGGCGAAACTGCTCCAGCTCCCACCCTAGAATCACGTGCTCCGAATTTCTGGGGGTGCCCCAGGAGACGCAACATACAGCAGATTCGCGCCCCCGATGCCACAAGCCTTTCGCATTACGACAGGCTCGCGCTTCCCAAGCCACACCCCCTCGTACATTACACCATGTTCGCGCCCCCGCGGCCACCACCGTTTGCAAATCATGGCATATCTGCGCCCCCGAGACGACCCACCCCTCGTAAATCATTGCGCGTTGGCGCTCCCGAGGCCGCAATCCAGAGTAAATTATACATGCTCGCGACCCCAAGCCATAATCTTAAGTCGGGCTTGTCCCCCTACGGGGGGGATTTTCGATGACAAATAAAAAATACCCCACACATAATCAAACAATAATCCAAAACTAGTCTGGGGACTTTTTTTTGTGTGTTTTGTTTTGTTTTGTTTTTTTTGTTTTTTGTTTTGTTTTTTATGTATTTATTACATTTTTGGGGCATTTATGGTGTATTTGTATTTTTTCGTCGAAAATCCCCCTGTAGGGGGACACGCCCGACATAACCATAATCCCTTGCACAATTATGCAAAATTCGCGCTGCCGAGGCAACAATCTTCTACGAATGGCAACACATCTGCGCCCCCGGAACTACAACACCCTCGTACATGATTGCGCACTGGCGCTCCCGTGGCCGCAATCCTTCGTAACCTACGCCGGATTTGCGCTCCCCAGGCCACAGCCCCTTGTGAGTCACGCCAGGTTCGCGCTCCCGAGGCCACAGTGTTCTGCACATCGCAGCAAGCTTGCGCCCCCGAAGCCACCCAGTGATTTACCACATCGGCGCTCCCGAGGCCGCACACGTTTGTAAAATACGCCAGATCCGCGCTCCGCAAACCACAGTCCCGCGTACATTACAAGATTCGCGCTCCTGATGTCATCATCCTTTCGTGCATTCTGACAAGTTTGCGTCCCCAGCCCCAGTCCACTCTGAATCGCTACGCGCTGGCCCTCCAAAGGTAACAGTCCCTGGCAACTTACGCCGCACTCGCGCCGCCCGAACCACAACCCTCAGCAAATTACTGCAGATGCGTTCTCCCGAAGCCACACTCCACAGTACATCATGTATGAACAGCTTGCGGGGGGCCCCCCCCCCCCCGCAGCGAGAACCCGCGGTACATGACTCCAAGCTCACGCCCCCCCCCCCCCCAGGCCACGAACCCGCCCCACGCGGGCTGCCCAGAGCCGTTCCCTCCCCACAGCAGAAAAACTGTAATTTTCTGTGCAGCACCCGTATCATCAGGATGCGCGGTGAGGATTGAAGGGGCCCAGGGACACACAAATAAATACACACAAATCCCAGGATCCATCATATTTTCCAATATTTTCTGGGTTGTCGTCTTCCCCCCCACTTCAAATATTTTCCCATATTTTCTGGGGGATCGACGATGCATGCAAGGGCCTCGGAGGGCCACGTCAGCGCTCTTCGAGCGAGGCTGGCACGCGAACGCCGGCAAGGATGGGGCCGAACGGGGCAAGGATGCAATGGGGTACGCTTGGGAAGGTTGCCCATCCTTGCTGTTGGAGGCCTGGAAATGGGCACCAACACCAGCACAGGGGGTGGCCTCCACATGGGGAAAATGATCCTAGATTTCGGTGTTGGTGGTAATATTTCGATCACCTTAGAAGCCGGAATATTACCACCATCACCGAGATCGGGATCGTCTTCCCTCGGTGGAGGCACACCGCCGAGCTTGGTGAAGGTGTGAAACTCTAGGCCTGCGATACTGTGCGGGCTGACTGTGTTGGGACCTGTGCTCGGAAACGCTTCTCTGCCCTCCCGTCGTTTCCCAAGAATTCGGCTCGGGGCTCGCGACCACGAGGCTTCGTCAACAGCCAGGGGTGTGCGCTCCTGAAGCTTCGTAGTCCTCGTGAGTTGCAGTGGAAGCGGCGTCCCGAAGCCACCATCCCAAATTAATCATTGCAGACGCGCGCAGCCAGCCAGCGGGCAAGCAGCCCAAGCCAATTGCCAATCATCAATTCAGACAACAAGCCAATCAGCCGAGTTGCTGGCCAGCCAGAGGGCAAACAAAAACGACCACACTACCATTAGGTCGGGCATGTCCTACTACTGGCGGATCTTGGACGAAAGATGAGAAATAGTCAAACATAATAAACAATGATACTGGAGAAAACCCCAATCAGGGCTATAGGGCTAGGGGGCTATAGGGCTATTGAGCTATAGGGCTATAGAGCTATAGGGCTATAGGGCTATTGGGCTATAGGGCACCCCCGGGCACGCCTGGGCACCCGGGCACAAAGAGCACCCGGGCACCCCTGGGCCCCTGGGCACCCGGGCGTGCGGCGAAAATCGGCGGCAAACCTAACCTGACCGTATGAATCCGCTAGGACCCCTACAGAGGCAAGCTCTGATGGGGAAAAACACGACAAATCGTCCCCAGATTCTTTCTTATACCATTCTCGAGTGCTCCTCCTGTAGAGAGCCAGGCCCGACTCAAGCGTGGAGGTGCAAACACTGCGAGGGGGCGTCGGCGGCAGGGGGCGAGAGACCCTCCGCATGACTATCGGACTGACATCGCCCCAGTACGGCCGGGACGCATACAGGGAGTAGAGCAGCATGGGGCTCGGGAGGACGCGGAGGAGGAAGAAGGCCAGGAGCAGCGACACACCCACAGCTGTCGGCAGGAATCCTTCAATGCGGTGCTTCGGCAGGAAGAACACCGTCATGTGCAGGAGCGGCGTGGAGAGTTCGGTAGACAAGAAATACGCTATGTAAACATTCCCGGCCCTGCTGAGAAAGCTAATCGGCCAAACCACCAATGACACCGCGTGATGAACAACCATCAGCGGTGAATACACCTCGTTGTCAATGGCCATGATGACGCAATCGTAAGCAAAATATCCGAGCGTGAATGGCAACATTAACCCAAATGCCTCGGAATCAGCGTGAACTGTGTCGGTCGGAGTATATCTCACAACCTGTTGAAATATGGCAAAGAAAGGCGCCTCCATCAACATCCGCGCGCCGAACACACCACTGATTGTTGCGTGCCCAGAAGCCACAAGTCGATTGATCCAATCACCGCGGAATTTTGGCTCGATCGCTGTCATTCTGACGATGGGGCGTAAAGCGACGTGAGCCAACGCGAACAGTGCGGCATAGCCACACGTCTGTGCCATGAGCAGCCATGACTCCCCACGCGCGGCCGCTGCGCTGGCGACTGCACTGGGCAGCAACATCTGCCTCGAACAGTGGCTGTACTTGTGGAACAGAGCTGCTCGAACCGAAATGACCCGCTCCGGAACCCCGGAGCCCAAACATTGGAGGAGCCGAAGACGGCACGTTTGGAGGCCCGCTCTCGGCTCTCCCGGATCCGCGCTGCACCCCTCTCCCTGGTGCGCGGGGCGCGCCGTGGGGGCCCAGCGCCGATCCCCCCCAAAAATCCGCGCGGACCGCCATCGGTTCATGTCTGTGCCGTCTGTTGTTCTTCGAAGCAGAGCTGCTCGAACCCGAATGGCCCGCTCTCGAAGCCCTGAGCCCAAACACTGGCGGCCTCTTAGATGGTGTCGGAGGATCGCGCCGCATCGCCGATGCATCGGCGATGCACTGGCGAGGCATCGTCGACGTCTGCGATGCATCGGCGACGCCGGCGTGAAGGACATCGGGCTCCCGCATCTGCGATGCGGCGCGATCCCCCGACCTCACCTACTCCGATCCCCTCTAGGAAGCCTAGAAAAAAGGTCGGAAATAGTCCCCCGACCATGTTTTGACTATTCTTGAATATTCCTCTTGTAAAGGGACAACCCCCGACTTACGTAAATCTACTCCGACCCCCTCGAGGACGCCTGGAAACACCTTACCGTCTGTGTGTGGGGTGCTCTTGCCGCCGCCGGCCTGCGCCGGCGGAGCCGCAGTCATTCTGCCCTCCGCCGGCTTCTCCTCCGCCCCTCGGCCACCTTCCGGGCGAGGAGGTTGGAGGAGGTTGGAGGAGGAGGAGGAGGAGGAGGAGGAGGAGGAGGAGGAGGAGGAGGAGGGCGAGGGGGAGGAGGGGGGCGAGGAAGAGGGGTCAGGGGGCGAGACAATGCCACTTCTTGCAAATCTGCTGGGTACGCCACCACTTTCCCCCCTTCGACCCTTCGTGTGCTGCACTTGGTGGCCCGCGCGCCTGTTGGGCCCCGTTTGCCCAGAAAGGATGAGGACTAGAGCAAGGGAGAATGACGATCATGACTCGGGTGTGCACCTCCTCTTCCTCCTCCTCGTGACGCTCTTGTTTCCATGCCCTCCCCCCCCCCCCTGCTGTCAATACTTCTTCTTCTCCTTCTTTTGCTCCCTCCCTCTCGCTCTCCTTCGCCCCGTTTCCTGGCCCTCCCGTCTTCCCCCTCGCCGCTCCGCTCTTGCCGACCCCCCCTCTCCTCCTCTTCCTCCTCCTCCTCCTCCTCCTCCTCCTCCTCCTCCCTCTCCTCCTCCTCCTCCTCCTCCTCCTCCTCCCTCCTCCTCCTCCTCCTCCTCCTCCTCCTCCTCCTCCTCCTCCTCTCCTCCTCCCTCTCCTCCTCTCCTCCTCCTCCTCTCCTCCTCCTCCTCCTCCTCCTCCTCCTCCTCCTCCTCCCTCCTCCTCCTCCTCCCTCTCCTCCTCCTCCTCCTCCTCCTCCCTCTCTCTCTCTCTTTCTCCCCCTTCTCTCTTCTTCCTCTCTTCGCCTGTCCTTGCTCCTCAGGAAACGAGGGTTGAAATCGGAATCGCACCCAAGTCTTCAGCAAGGCATGGGAGGCTCTCTGGGATTATGTCGAGGCCCCCGGCATAGAAGAAGAACAAACGCCATAAACATAGACTTTTGGAACTCCGCGCACATTTCTTGAATCCGCGCTGGGCCCCCCTCCATCCCTGGCGCGCGGAGCGCGCCAGGGGCGGCGCCGGAGGTGGCGCTGGTGGGCCCAGCGCGGATCCAAGGAATCTTTGCGGAGCTATCTTCATGGCGTTTTTCTCCTTCGACGGAAGCCTCCAGAGGTCTGGAAAGGGGCCAAGACATGGAAAAACAGAACGTCTCGATCTCTGACGGCAGACGATGTGATTCCCTAATAAAATTTGGCGAAAATCCCGGGCCGATTTCGGCAGCCGGCTGGGTTCCTGGGTTGCCGGTTCCGGGTTTCCAGGCTCCCAGTTGCTGGTTTTGGGCCAGTTTCGGGATCCCCCGATCCCAAATTTTCCAAACCATCCACTGATTGGGATTTTTCTTTGGTGTAATGCCTCAAAAGCGTGGCCCCAGAGGTCCCGACATCTTCCCTGGGGGTAGTAGCTTGGCCTCCCAGCTCCATTTTGTTGGCCCAGGGCCCGACGACGCGACAAGACGGGCTCCAGAGAGGCCCACTATCGATGAACAAACACGCCCCAATAGGACAAATCATACCGTCGGAGATGCACTTGCTCAGAGAGCACTGGCATGTGCAAGAGCACCTCCGACCTCTGTGCCCTCGTCCTGCGCTCGTGCTATTCCGTTGGCGCTGCTCCCCGCAGCCCACCGCACCTGTCAGGCACGAGGAGGTTTAGGCTAGCGCTCGAGGGCAGCGGCTCGCACACTCGAATGGACTTCATCGCCTCCTCTTCCTCCCTCCCTCTCTGGTCCTCAGGGGGGTGGAATCGCCGGCTTGAGCGCGCGGCGCGCGCTCAAGCCCGCCCGGTGGCCTCCTCGCCCTCTTGCCGGGGGCTCGAGCCGGAAAGCGCGCGCGCGCGCGACTTTTTCCAGTCCGTCGAAATCTCTCTCGACATCTCGTCGACACCGACCCGGGACGAAGAACGACCCGGGATGAAACAGGTGAGGGGTCTGTTGAGCAGGGGCCGACCGTCCCAAGATTCCTATAGGCCAACCGCGAATTTTTCCTAGAACCGCAACAAGTTCTTAGAACAGTCGCCATGTTCTTAGAACATGGACCAGATGCATTACAACAAGACTGGCTCAGCCAGACATGTTCTAAGAACACTTCGTTGTAGAACATCCTGTGGTGGTCCTACAGGCAAGCCGAGATGCTTCGCCACTGCTCGAGTCTGGGGGCCGCTTCTGAAGGGGCTCTGGCCGGCGGGGGGAGAAGAGGGGCCGGCCAGCAGCGGAGGGGCACGCAGGGAGCAGGGGATGCTTGGGATGGCCGCGGCGGCGGAGGAGGCGGGGTCAGCGTACAAACGGCCTCGGCGGCGCGCCAGGGGGGGGGGGGGGAATGAGAGGGGGCAGGCCTTCCGCGAGGGCGGCGGGGCTGCGCAGAACCCCCCCCCCCCAGGCCTTCTGAGAGCCCCTCCCCCCTATGGCGTCCGAGGAGGGCTATGGAGGCCTTCTCCGAGTCACCGGGGGGCCTGCCGAGCCTTCCGAGAGGGCCCGCCCCCGGCGCCTTGGCCCTCCGGGCGCGCCGCCTACCATGGTCGACGCGCTGCTCAGGGTAGCCGGTTACGAGTGTTGGGCACGGCAAGTGCCGATGCTCATCATCATCTCGGCAACGATGGCTGTGACTGCTCACGCTGATCTCCCAACGACGCAACAGCTGGCCGAATGCACCTGGTCTGCCTGCAGTGATCCACGCGCCAACTTTCCACAGCGCTGTGTGATTCAGGCAGCCTCTCTGGTGTGGTCTGCGCGCCGACGGCTACCACGAGTACATGTCGCGTGCATTGCGCAGCAAGTCAAAAGTGGCACAGTTATAGCAGATTTTGTCGCCTGCGCTGGTTGCAGCGATGCGGGCGGACGTGGACAGGGGAGGGGAAGGAGAGAAGAGAGGAGGACAGGAAGCACAGCGGCTCTTTGGTACAGCGTGTGAACGACGCCCTCAACAATGGGCGGGGTCGAAACTCGGCCAACATTCCAGGGGGCCCGAGGGACCAGGCTTCCAAATGAGGAGATGAGGGGGCGTCGCGAAAACTTGCCGCCTACGCGCCAATCTGCCAGCCAGGAGTGTCTGTGCGGCGTCCAGCTCACGGACGCGTCGCGTCGGGTCGTGTCTGGCGGCTCGTTGGCTTCCACTATGTCCAAGCGAAACTGCAAGCGGAATCCGCACCTGAACTAAATTCACGGTGCGCAAGGTCGATGCGTATTTCCACTACTGGTGGGAGGCTTTGCAATCGACGTGTCGCGGCCAATGCGCGTTCATGAACGGGCTCTCTCTCTGTGTTTGTGGCGCATCTCTCGAATTTAGCGAAGCTGACAAACCACACCAATGTAATCCAGATCGATCCCGAGCCTTTGCATCCGACGAGGCCGCCAACGACGATCCCATCGTCGCAACCATCGAGCGCAAGATCCCGGCATTGTCCCTTCTGTTGGAAAGCCAGCCCCAGCCCCGGCCGGAGGTGCAGCGTCCAGGGCTTGGCAGCCGCCCAGGCGCGCCTCTCTGGCCCGCTGGGTGTCGCCTGCGGGCCGCGGCTGCCAGCCGCTGCGCCGCCCGGCCAACTCCACCTCGCCGCCACGGCACACGCTGCAGCGGATTTCTGCGTGGATTTCTGCGTGGATTTTTGCCCGAAGCGGCGATCGAAATACGAAGTGAACTTCGCGTGGATTTTTCTCTACCTGGGCTCGTCCTAGAAGGGCTCTTACTCGGTATGCTTAAAGGGCCGGGCAGTGTTCCACGCCCCGGGCGGTTCCCCCAGTATCCGCCCCGCGGTTCCCCCAGTTACGTCCCTTTAGCTTAGCGTTGCTTATTTCATCTTAGCTTAGCTTAGCTTCATCTTAGCTCAGGTTTATCTTAGCTTAGCTTACCTTAATCTTAGCTTCGCTGAGCTTTAGCATCGCAGAGCACAGCATAGCATAGCGCAGCATATCATATCATAACATAGCCCAGCACAGCATAGCATAGCGCAGCGCAGCATAACATAGCATAGCACCGCACAGCGCAGCATGACACAACATAGCTTAGCACATCATAGCATAGCATAGCATAGAGCAGCATAGCATAGCATAGCATAGCATAGCATAGCATAGCATAGCATAGCGCAGCATAGCATGGCATGGCATGGCATAGCAACTCATGCCGCTTTCCTAGGGGCTCCAACTTCTAGGTCGGGTCGCACTGGGGTAATTTAGTCTTCATTCCTGGCCAACAAAATCCGCACGAAATTCACCTCGAAATCCAGAACGAAATTCTCCAGGACTCTCCAGGCCCATCCTATCTTTCCGAACGAAGTCCGCTCTGCGATGTTGGCGCCATGACGCATGACCGTCGCGCCTGACTGGACCAACCCTGCCTGTCGAGCACGCCCTCCAGCAGGAGGTCCCAGGCGAGCTGGAAGCGCTACTCGGTACTCGGAGCCCACCGCCAGCACGCTCGCCTGCACCTGCTGGCAATGCCAAGGCGGGCGGGCCCATCCTGATCCCGCAGGGTGGCCCAGGAGGGGCCGAAATTCACGTACTGCACGAGGGTATTCCGTCACCATTTGTTTTGTTTCTATCTCTCTCTCTATTTCTCTCTCTCTCTCTCTTCTTCTCTCTCTCTCTCTCTCTTTCTCTCTCTCTCTCTCTCTCTCTCCCCCCCCCCCGCACTTTCCCACATTGAGGAGGAAGCTTCGATGCCAGGGGGGGGGGGGCGAAAAAGCAGATCCCTTTTGTGACATGCGGCGAGTGGCAGTGTCTGTCCGAGGCTGGCTCAACACACCGAATTGGCAAGGAAGGCTGGGCAAGACATTCAGAGGTCATTGTTGAACCCATGAGTGCCAGAAACACGCCATCTATCCACGTACACAGTGTAAATCCAACCGCGCCCTAAATATGCCAAACATAACTTGCAAAGCGCGCTCACAATTTGAAATTTGAAGTTTCGTTTTGAAATGTTCGCGACTCGTGGAAAGGGCTTTGCCGCGTAGTTCGCTACTTCGAAAGCGTGCTGGGGGTATCGGCTCGGCAACGTAAAATCTGGATTCAAGCCGCTTGTAGGGCACGGAACGAAACACGCGAAACTCACATGCTAGAACACGGGAACACACGCGAAACCATGCTTGACAGACGGCGGCACGTCGGAATTCTGAATGACTACAGTTTCCTTCACGAGAAGCTTGCATCCGATGCGGATTTTGGATGTCGAGCTTTCTCTTGGATGCAGAAGCCGCAAGCCATGGGGCTATACAGATTTCAATGTCGATGTGTTTTCCCATGTCCCAAGAACGGGTGTCAAACATTTGATACTCAACGAACCGACACCGTTTTGAAGTCGCGAACCCCACGGGCGAGCGTTTTCCACTGAGCGTAATCCCACCAGCCCTTTAGGGCGTAGGTGGTCTAGAGCGTTTCCTCTGCCAACCCCCCTTCTTTCCCTTCGGGGAGGGGTTTACCCCTCCCCTTACCCCTCCCCACTGACCTGGACGGGGCGTTCCGCGACGCGTTGGGACGCCCAAGATGGCCCAAGACTGCTCCAAGAGCGAAAAGGCGAGAAAGCACAAAACATTGATTTTCCTTAGGTTTTGGAAGGATTTTGGCCTCTTGGGGGGGCCCAAGAGGCGATCCGAGGCACTCTAGAGGGGCGAGGCTAATTGGGGACCCCCCCTTCTTTGATAGATCTCCTCCAAGATGGCCCCAAGAGCGCCCCGAAGGCTCCCAAGAGCGCCCCAAGAGCGCCCCAAGAGCGCCCCAAGAGGGCCCCAAGAGGCGCCCAAGATGCCTCCAAGAGGCTCCCAAGAGACTCCCAAGAGGCCCCAAGAGAATCCAATATGGCCCAAGACGGCTCCAAGAGCGAAAAGGCGAGAAAGCAAAAAACAATGATTTTCTGTAGGTTTTGGACGGGTTTTGGCTTCTTGGGGGGGGGCCCAAGAGGCGACTCGAGGCACTCTAGAGGGGCGGGGCTAATTAAAGCTCCACCCTTCTTTGATAGATCTCCTCCAAGATGGCGCCATGAGCACCCCGAAGGCACCCAAGAGCGCCCCAAGAGCGCCCCAAGAGAACCCCAAGAGGCTCCAAGAGACGCCAAGAGGCGCCCAAGAGGCCTCCAAAAGGCTCCCAAGAGACCCCCAAGAGGCCCCAAGAGGCTCCCAAGATGGCCCAAGAAGGCTCCAAGAGCGAAAATGCGAGAAAGCAAAAAACATTGATTTTCCATAGGTTTTGTAAGGATTTTGGCCTCTTGGGGAGCCCAAGAGGCGACTCGAGGCACTCTAGAGGGGCAGCGCTAATTGGGGACCCCCCCTTCTTTGATAGATCTCCTCCAAGATGGCCCCAAGAGCGCCTCGAAGGCTCCCAAGAGCGCCCCAAGAGCGCCCCAAGAGCCCCAAGGGGCCCCAAGAGGCCCCCAAAAGGCCTCCAAGAGGCCCCCAAGAGACCCCCAAGAGGCCGCAAGAGGCTCCCCGAGATACGCAAGAGGCCCCCGGGACCGCCAAGAGGCCCCAAAGACGGCCCAAGAGGCCCCCAAGCTCGCCATTGTCCTCCTCCTCCTCCTCTTTTTCTTCCTCCTCCCTCCTCCCCCTCCCCCTCCTCCGCCTCCTCCTTCTCCTCCTCCTCCTCCTCCTTCTCGTCCTCCTCGTCCTCGCCCTCCTCCATCTCCTCCTCCTCATCTTCCTCCTCCTCCTCCTCCTCCTCCTCCCCCTCCTCCTCCTGCTCCTCCTCCTGCTCCTCGTCTTCCTCCTCCTACTCCGACGACGACGACTCCTCCTACATCCTCCCCCTCTTGGGGCGTATGGCGGCTCAACCCGCTCTTTGTTCTTCTGCATGCTCCCCCGCTTCCCTCATCACCTCCACTCCCCTGGGGCTCATTTCTGGACGGGCTGGTGGGGATACGCGAAGCGTCTAGAATAATGTCAGACATGCAAGTCGCGGCTACGCGGCGCCCCTCCGACGAGAACGCCTCCACGTGTGCATCTCAGTTGCTGGCGCTTCCGTCGGTGAGCGTCTGAGTGGGAGAATCTGAGCTTGTTGCGACTGCGCTCCATGGCGGCTTCCCTTA